AAAGTGTGTGCTTTGTGGACAGTAAGCTACTTAGCTGAGCAGATTATGGTAACAGAGCAGAGAAAAAAAGTTTTAATCACTTTCTTACACTTTTTCTTTTGAGTTTTCAAAAATTTAGAAATAGACGACGTCCTTGAACCTCTAAATGTTGAGTGTGAGTCTGCTAATAAATGCTTGGCAGAGTTGCTGTGTCCACTTACTGTATATATTGCGAAAATCTATGATTGGATAGTTTGGGGGAGGGGTTTAGGAAAGAGCCAATTAAGAAAGAAAATCCAGAAACCTCAATGCTGCGTGCCTTCATTCTTGCGTCCTGACGAACGCCGTGCTCGCAGCTCATCATATAGCTCGTCGTCTTTGTGTGTAATGCCCTCGGATGGCAGTCTAGCCCACCTCGGTTTAATCCCTTTGGCCCTGAGCCAACTCTAAATGCACAGATTGCCTCCTTTCACAGAGACAGCAGCGTCAGCAGGGCCCCGCCTCTCCGCTGAGCCCCCCCAACCGAGCAAACTCCCCCTCCCCGGGGGTCGCCGTCTCTCATGTCCTGAAAAGGAGGTTGAACCTGTGGGGAGCCTGTGGGTAACTGTAAAGTGGCCTGGTACTCATCAGCTGCTGGAGGTGTTTTGTCTACAGCTTTTTCATTCATTTACTCTGCAGTGTGAGTGTGCCTTTAACATTAAACAAGCAAAGGCCGACTTGTAAATATTTAGCCTTGCATGTTCGAGAGAGTTCAAAAGAGGCCGAAGAAGTGAATGAGAGGACACGCTCCTACTTCTGCAAGTCGGATAAAAGAAGCTGAAGTAACGTGTCCGTTAAACCTGCAGCGCGGTGGTCAAGAGGCAGCAATTAATCACAGCTCTGTGTCCTTATTGTTGAACAGAGGACACAGAGCTTCCTGTTTCACATGTCTCCTGAGTTGTTGATTAATGCAGTGCCTCCAGCATTATGTGAAGCCAGGTTAGTTATTGGTTGTTGCTTAAAGCAGCAGGCTTGCAGCAGAATGAGGGTCTTTGAGTGACCGCCAGCGGATGCTTGCTATAACTGCTTTAATGTTTGGATCAGTTTGTTGGTGACAGTGAGATGATTTGAATAAATTATGATTTATTTATTTTTTTTGGTGCCAGTTTAGCTAACTGGTCGAGCAGGGTGACATTCGCCCCATGGCTTAAATGCAGAGGCCCGAGTCTGAGTCCAACCTGTGGCCCTTTGCTGCGTATCCTCCCCTCGTTTCCTGTCTTGTCTTTACTTCAAATCTGTCAACAAAGACAAAACCCATCTAAATTTAAAAAAAAATCTATATAAAATTGATCAAATTTCAGTTAAAAGTTAACATTTTATCTCCATATCGTGAACATTTTTCCAGTTGCATCAAAGTGTGCATTTGCCACAATTTTCCACAATCTAACAAATTTTTTTGACCAACTTTGAGCATTAATATCGTAATAAATCATGGTTTTAATAGCAAAATGTCACCAATTTAACAGTTTAAAGATTGAGTCATGAATTCTTTTGTGTCTATTGAACCTAACAAATTTTAAAAAAAAGAAATAAAATATTAATTTGCCTGAGTTTTAATTTGGGATATTTTCTTCATCCAGCTGTTGTTTTTGTTATTCATTGCTTAAAATCGATATAAATTTTTAGGTTATTTGGGATTTTTCAGGTGACAAAATAGGAAAAATTGATGATGTAGAAGTATCAAATGGGATACATTTAGCATCAATCCGCCTCATCTGTTGTTTTTGACTCTTAAGGAGTTTTGAAGACTGGACGTTTTGCAGTGTGATCATTTCACAATCAACCAAAGGTCGGCATTTCAAAAGTGACGTAGAAGCATTTTTAGGTGGAGATAACATGACCACACCTTTCAAGTATAGAGGGTGTGACGTAACTGAAAGATGAAAGACAGCTGGGGTAGTTATCTATGCATTTGTGACGCATCACTGCAAACGTAAGACAAACATGCATTCGTATATTAATGAGAAAAGTAATCTGCATGTGGTCACGCCTCCAATGGACCCAAAAGAAAAAATCATGCCTGAAATTTCACATTATTTTCAGAGCACGTCAAGCAGCATCTTAAAATGAACAAGAATTTAAAAAAGCAGAAGCATGGTTTGAGTAGATTTCTCTCCAACACCACCACTGTTACAGCCCACAGCAAACAGGAGAACTAAAGGCCAATAAATGATGCTCGAAACAAAGGAATAAACCAGAAATAGCTATAATCTCAGCCATTTTCTTTAACTGCTGTAACGGTCTTCAACTCACCTGCCTTACCTAACCAAAAACATTTGTGAGTGGAGATTACAAAGTCATTTCAAATAAAACCCATGTTTTATTTGAGCTATCCACATTATGTTGGGTCTTTTGAGCCAGGTGGTAACACAAACGGTGGGAAAATATATCCCTGGCCCCAGTCTCCTGAAACTAGTAGACAAATTAGTAAATCGATTGCCTCAAGACCAATTAGATGTGTGCACGGTTAACTGCACACAGTCAAAGTAGCATCACAAGACACACAAGGTACAGTGAAACTAGTGAACGCACAGCACCAAAAGTGATGGCAGCAGGCTGCTCACACTGAATCAGATTCACTCTGACTGCCGAGCTGCTTCTTTTCATTTGGCAGAAACGGCAGTGAGGAGGAGACGTCAGGAGGGGCAAACAGAGGCTCCAATCCTGGGTGGAGGTTTGAACCTACTGGTTAACACAATGAAACCAAGAAAAGGTGAATTTCTCCCAATAGATGCAAACTCTATTATTCGCACTCTGGGGAAATTCACATGTACAAATGTTTTGAAAATTATTCGATCGTTTACACACTTAGAGAAAAAACGAAACTGTCTTCTTTTAAAAAAACGCTTTTTCATTAATTTCATTAGAAGATGGGTGGTTTGATACCGTTGCCATCGGGAAATTTTTAATTGTAAATCTGTATGCAGACATACGTTGCACATATGTGTGGCCGATAAAATCAATGAATGAATAATCATTTGTTTGCTTGTGTGCTTTTGGTTTGCATGTTCCACATTTTATCTAAAGTCTGTCACGCAGTCCACTGATTGACTTATCGGACGGTGCGGTCAGAAGGTCATGACCCTTAAAAAACACTGGAACTACATTAGAGGAAGTTGTGCAGCTAAACTTAACATTTTTACTGCTTTATCAATTCATAAATTTCACATCGGGACACATGTGGCTTCTTTAGATGCTTTTTTTTCTCCCCTTTGGCTACCGCAGCGATCCTTCGTTATTAAAATCTGAGTAATCAGATCTTTCATCTCTTGTGAAGTTCATTTGTCATGTGTCACATTGGTATGAAATTCATGCCTTGACTGCTTCCGCTTTATTCCCGTGTCTTCCTGAACATGCCCGGCTGAAGCTGCTGCTGCTGCTTTTGCCCTCTGGGCACAAAAATACATGAAATTCCTCGTGACGTTGGGAAAAATCAGACACGGTGCAGCTTCATTATCTACAGCATCACATGGTTCACGGTTGGGTCAATCAGAAGAACTGACATCATGGAAAATGTCAGAGCTGACGGTGAGAAGGAGAGTTTTCATGAAAACGTTTTCTAAAGTTTGAACTCTTTAAGTTCATGTTTCTCTTACGTTAGGACATTAGGGGAAATTAGGGGCCTAAAAGCAGTGGAAAGACCCAAACTTAATTTTATTGCTGGTTATCTGAGGATGATAATGGTGTCATTCTTAAGGCAGGAAATAAGCACTGTTGCATCAGCATGCTAATGTGAGGGCTGGTTGTTCCTTTATTGGATTTGTGTAGGATGTTTCTTAATGACTGGATGTGGAGATGAAAGGAGAATAAACAGGAAGAAATTCCACGAATGTCACCGGGAACAGTATCAGCGTGACCATATGAATTATATCCCTCTTACAACTATTTCTACTGTGTCATAGAACAATTTCACGCAAATGTACTCATTAGCAGAGGAAGTCAGTAAAACAAAGCACAATGTGGACAAAGCCAGTGGTTTGTCAAGTTAGATTATGACCTGACGTCCTCTAGGTGACCCCAAATCGGTAGTTTGGCTTTAAAGATTCTCGGATGTTTGCTCCATTATCCGCGTATGTTCAGTTAACCTTCACAATAAAAATACGTTAATAAAACATTTCCTGAAGCATATAATGGTAAATGGCCTGTATTTATATAGCGCTTTACTAGTCCCTAAGGACCCCAAAGCGCTTTACATATCCAGTCATCCACCCATTCACACACTGGTGAGCTACATAGTAGCCACAGCCACCCTGGGGCGCACTGACAGAGGCGAGGCTGCCGGACACTGGCGCCACCAGGCCCTCTGACCACCACCAGTAGGCAACGGGTGAAGTGTCTTGCCCAAGGACACAACGACTGAGACTGTCCAAGCCGGGGCTTGAACCGGCAACCTTCCGATTACAAGGCGAACTCCCAACTCTTGAGCCACGATCTCCCCATAAAAGGGTCCTCATTTGATCCCAGCATCATGTGAAGCACTCACCGTATTAGATTTGATTTTTAGTTTGCTGCTATCTCAGTTTATACATGTTAAAGCAGCTTTTGTAGGTATTCTGCTGGTCTGGAGAAGGGGCACCTTGACTCGAGCATTAATCCTTTCAAAAGAAATGCAGACTTAAAGTATTTTTGGCAATTAGAGAAGAGATGGAGACCCGAATCAGGTGATAAAGAATAAACCTTCTGTTTATGAGTTCTAGTCCTGAACTTTTAAAGGAAAATTCAGACACCTTGATTGGTCTGATTTATCCCTGAAGTATGGAGTGCGCACGGCTTATTAACCCCTACGCCAGTGTGTTGTGGGCTTTGTGACAACTATATATTATTACTGAAAGATGGCAAGAGTTTTAGAAAATAGGCACATGAAGGAACAGATGGGCATGTGGATAAAAGGAGAAGTGAAACGTCTCCTGGCTTCTCCACCCACCTCACAAACTCTGCCATTCTCTAAAAAACAGTAGTTCTGTCTCAGCTGTCAACACTGCCATTAGACGGCTTTTTCGTAACGATGAGACACGTCACAGCGGCACTGTGTGACACTCCTGGATGAGAATGCATTTTTTTTTCTGTATTCGCAGTTGCAGCTTGGCACATGAAAGATGGCCCATCACCTAAAGAAAAGCGGAAAATAGTGAGTAGAGATTATTGTGCAAGCAACCTCAACCGGACTGTGTCATCTGTGGGGAGAAGCTGGGCAGCAGCTAGTTTTCGCGCCAACGGTGACGTCACAACCGCAGTTGCACGCCATGTTTTAGTGTTGCTTCAGCTAATACTCCACCTGAACGCAACCTGGTAATCAGTCAAGGGAGGAGATGGAAGGCAGTTAAGGTAGAGGTGTTACGACAGATCTGTTGGTGGGCATCGCTGTAAACACACGCTGTAAACTGGTGATCGTACATGAGACACAAACGTCTAATTGGGGGCTTTTGAATAACGTATGAACTGCAAAAGAAGAAAAAATAAACTTTAATCAAAGTGAATCCAGGCTGATCGCAGCAGACCCTTGTGCTTAATATTCACACAAGATAGATGTGGTTTGAGATGTCACCTTTAGGAGAGACGCTACAGTTTATCCACACAAATCTCTATCAGTGCAAAGTTATTTTCAAAGGACAGCTCAAACGAATATCTCAGACTGCGCCGGCCGACTTTGAGTAACGACGCTGAGCTGTCGAGTAACGTGGAAATAAATGTGGATCAGCAGGCAGATTAATGATAGAAAATCCCACCCGACAACAAAATACGCATTCATGCATTATTCATGTGCTCCAGTCCACACTGGAATATACAACCGCGATCACTACCATATACACTAGTGATCACTTTCATTAGATGTAGCTCTGGTGTCATATCTCACCACGGTTTTTCCTTTTGGTTTAAATCACTCAGCTAAGGTTTCACCGAACACCTCATGTTTCCTGTATGTGTCAGATAGGGATGTTTGGTTTTGTTTTATTATGATGATTTTTTTTTCTTTTTTAAAGTACTGCTCCAAAATGAGACAATCCAAGGTTTCATGAAGGACTATCGCTGCTTGAGTCTGAACACGCCCGTTTCACCCCCTCTTTGTCCTTGCTCGTTCTGAGATGGGGGGGGGAAAAAAACCCGGGTGACCATTCATTCTGCTCCTGCACCTGTTTAGTGGCGCGTCTTTCCCGTTTTACGTCTTGAATTTACAACCTTCAGCTGGAGGGACGACCTTTCACTCGGCCTCTGTGGCAGAGAGGCAGCAGCTGTGGTGACTTCACTGGCTCCTCGTGTAAAGAAAAAAAGATGCTGAAGGCGGGTGTTGGGGGTTCTCTTCTTACACCTTGAACTTCATAGCAGCTCGATATGACACACACTGCCTCCATCAGCTGTTAGTATCTATCTGATTGAGCTGATTTCAAAGATATGAAAAAGGCGCATTCATTCCTCCCTGTGGTCTCATTTGTACCCATTCATAAGAGTCAAAGAGAGGCAGGAAGAGCTAAGTGAAATGCCCACAGTTTTTCATATGTGTGGTCCCCCTTTTCTTTTCTTTTTTTCTGCGAGAAGGGAAACATTAGCAACGCTGACTCATTACAAAGAGCAGCTGAAAAGTCTGAGCCAATTTATTTCTGGTTTGGCAGAGAAAGGATAGTGTAGCACACTTCCACTGAAATTACAGCGTCACAGTGTGAGATGAAGCCTCTGCTTTGTGAAAGGGTGATTTTTTTTTCTTTTTTCTTTTTAGGAAGCGCTCTCTCAGCCCGCTGGCTTTCCTCTGGAGCAGCTGTCGGTCAGCGTCAGTTGGTGAATCTCGGAAACACAGATCGCTAATGAGGCTGGAGCTCTCGAGGACTGCCTGGCCCTGAACTCAGCATCACACGGTGCTAAGTGACGAGGATCCCCTGCTGCACCCGGGGAGGCTTATGCATCTGAAACGTAAATATTATATACGTCACGTCGAATCAGGAGACGGGTGCTCTCGTCTGGCTTTGAGATCTCGCTGTGCTCGGGGTGGTCCTGCAAACCCAGGAAAGTCCAGGTCAGACCTTTCACCTCCCCCGGTGCCCTCCTGTTTCGCAGCTCCGCTCAAGAGGTTTTTGGGTAATGAGCTTGTTGTCGGTGATGGATAGGTCGCAGATCGCGCTGGCATCGGCACTCTTTTACATTCCTGTCGGTTCAAGTTACAACAGAGACATTAAGCAGCTGGAGTGGGATGAGTTTTAAGGGGCAGACGTTTCGTTCGGGTAGTGTGAAGCAGATGAACTTAGGTGAATGCGAGGGAAGAAAATTCAGTTGCCTTCGATTTGTCTGTGATTTTTCGTTTTAATTATCTGTGTAGCCAAGTATGTACGCAACATAAGAAAATCAACATAAATCAACATAAATCCAAATTACTGACAACCAATTTGTGAAGTGTGTTAGAATCTGAATATCCTCCAGTGAGATGGGCGAGATCCAAGCAGCTGTGTAGGTGGATAAACATGAGTAGCTGTTCCTATTGAGACAACTGAAGACATGAGTCAAAACAGAGGCAAATTCATAATCCGTAATTATGGAAAGATTAGGGATTAAAACACAACTTCAGACTCTGACTGGACCAGAATCACCTCAGAATTAAAGCTGTTTGTCACCAGATGTTGGCTGTGATACAGTTTTGTTGTTTACTATCTTTAAAGGTAGCAAAGAAGAAGCAATTTACATGATTTTTATGTATTTTGTTTTATGTAGGTATGCAGTACTGTGCAAATGTTTTGAGACACCTCTTATTTCTTGATATGTTGTTTGGAAAATGGGAAATTGGAGCCGCAATTTATTGAAGCATCTGCAAATACAGGATATCAGGCAGAGTTTGTACAATTCTGATGAACTCAAAAGTCGATATTTTGTAAGACCACCTTTGTTCTCTTAGGAGAACTTTCTTGTAACTTCTTTAAATAGTGTTTAGAAATATTTCTCCCGGCTTCTTGAAGGACATTCAAAGCTCTTTTTGCTCTGTTCTCTGTCACGGTGATCCCACAGTGCTCCAACACACTTCTTCTACCCATGTATGCTTTTACCGAATTGGCACTGTGTTTGCAATCAGTGTTGTTGCATGGGATCTCAAAATGTGATGGTAGTTTTCTCTAATTCCACTAATTCTGACAAGTTCTCCGACACCACTGCCTTAAATGCAGCTCCAAACCATGCATACAGATAGCTGTAGACACTCACTGTCGTACCTCTCATGACCTCCAACCATACTGGCGACAATTTCAATTTTTCAAAGTTG